CAACTGTCCATCTGCCAGCATGTTGTCCGCCCATCTGCCTTTGTAGTGGCTGCCTCGCCGTTGACTCTTAACTGTTGGTTACATCTGAGACGATATTAGATTATCTTGTGGCTACATAACTTCATCTGGTTGTTGTTGCCATCTTTAAACCCAATTTGGAAGTTTGTATGTCCTTGCTTATTTAACAAATGTATTGCGTTTTGCGTCCTTGCACACAATATTTTTCAATTTCTACAACCGACCATTCAACTTAGACATGATTGCTATTATTTTATTTTTTGATTTTTATCTCTATTAAGTTTATCTGCTGGTTTTGCTAGGTATTTGGTGGATATGAGTGGGTTATTATAGATATCTATTTGTACATACATACATATGTATGTACGCATTTAAGTACCCTGCAGTAAAATTTAGACAGTCTGACAAAGCGCTAGTTCCGAACTGCATATTTCAAAACCATCTCTGAACTAGTGTAAAACGGCTGCAGAGCGGGACAGTGGAAAATTGCGATGTAAGTGTACAAAATCTTTTACAATATGAAAGTAGCTCAGCGAGACAAGCATCGTTGGCCACGAGTTGAAATCACGGTGGAGGCAGCTGTGAGTTTCAGATTTAATGAATTTTAATTGTTTTAAAAACATTTTCTTATAAAATAAAACTGTCCAAAACGGAACCGGTCAAAAACTAGCTGCAAAGTAATGCACTGGGCGACAATTGTGTGCCGTGTAAAACTGAACGGTATTGAACTAGACCTAAACAGTACTGTCGGCAAAAGGTCAAGTTCTACTCTAATTCTGAGCTAGTGAGATTTTCTGCAGAGTACATATGCACTAGGTTTGTGTGAGTGGCGTTTATTTTCATTTTTGTGGTTATGAACCGACTGTAGAAAAATAAAACTAATGTTAAAACGCATTTGAAATATATATAGAATCTCTCCTCTTTACAGCAGTGAATGTTCGGAGTGATTGATTTCTATTGAATAGCAGACATTTTGGTAAAAAAATTTTATTTTTTGTTTGCTATTTGCTATCAACAAAAATAGTAAGATCTTTGGAAAATATTGCTCGCGCTCGTCATTGAATGAAAGAAGGAATTGTAGAAAATATGTTTTATTTTCGTTATCATTTTGCTAACCATAAATTTGGGTTACACATCCAAACATACACACATACATATATGCATAAGTATGTATGTTCTTATTTAGTATGGGGGTAGGATGCGAATATTACATAAAATAGTTTCCTTAATGAGTACTTTATGTGCGGTAAATTTTTTCTCCAGTTTGAATGAACCGGATATTTACATACATACATATGTACGAGTATATATGGAGTATGTTATAAGTGGTAGCGCTTATGAGGAGATCAGTCGCTTAAAATCTGACAAATAAATAATGCACTTATAAGAACAGCAATGAAGGCACTGCATTTTCTAGGTAGGTACACTTTTAAAACAAAAAAGACAGCAACCATTGCATCTGAATATTAAGCACTTAACACAGTAGGAGATATGGTCATGGCCAGATACTGGCCGACGACGGTGGCTTTCGACGCTTCCTGGAAGCAAGGAAAAAGTGACAATGGTGGGAGAAGGAACGTGTTTATTAGGGTGGTTCCAAGATGAATGTGAAAAAAGTAAAGCTCTTATTCCACCAGGATTTTTCTATTTCGAAAATATATATATCCCTGCTTCTTTTTATTTCCAGATCAAAAAATAAATGTATTTTATATGAAAAAAAAACAAATTTACGTGCAAATTATATAGGAATCTTGAAAATCTCTGTTTCTTACAATAATAGTACTCAATTGTAATTGTTTATTTTACCATATTTTAATACTTACGATTTTTATAGGTCGCCTCATTGCATTTTTGGGGGATTTTGGAGGACTCTAAAAAATAGTTTGTATTAAAAAATGGTTAAAGAGATAATTGGGAATTATTATTTGAAGTCTTCTGAAGAGAAACAGATTTTTTTGAACAAAATATATGTATTATCAAGAATTCTACACCATTTTTAGGGAAAAGTTGTTTGCTCCCACATAAAATGCGTGGAAAACTTTGAGCTACCTCTAATTGTTTTTTTTACAGGGGTATATTTTTTCGGTATAGAACAATCCTTAGGGGGGAGAGATTTAAAATTCTGAATTTGCTTCTAGTATCTATCCTTGTATACTTAGCTGGTTCTAATCATTTTGGTAATATTACTTACTGGCCGTTTATATTCTGAGTATCTTGGAATATTTTCTGCTCTTCTTCCTTCAAGCTGAACTCATAGTAATGGTGAAGGTCTTAATACCAGTAAAATGCAATTCGATATACGGAATTAATATATCTACATATTAACATATTGAGAAACCAGTAAAAATCTCTTTTACTAAATACAATAGATCTAAAACAAAAGAACAAAATTAGAGTTTTCCCAGTTCTCTGAAATTCAATCAATTACGACACAAATGAAACGATTGTACCGCACTGCGCCTCTTTAAGCAGATCTTAAAGCATATACATTAGTGCGGGTCAATTTGTAAGCGAGATTTTCTCGACTATGAGCGTATAGCACGGAACGATTCTACATGTGATTCTAAGCAAATTTTCCGAAGAAACGATAGGTCTGAAGGCAGTTTGGGGTTTGCCAAATTGCTAAAATAAGTTTCTTAGCATTTTGCTGTAGTGTCGTAAAGAAGTGCTTAAATTTTGAATAAAAAATGCTACAAGGGGTTTTTGGTATGAGGAATCCATTTCTGCAATTAGCTTTTTCTAAAAACTTCCACCACAGAGCGCAAAAGTGAAAATTTTCAAATTTCCCTGGGAACCTATTTTCGCAATTTGGCAAACTCCAAATTGATTTTAAACCCATGGTTTCTTTGGCAAATTTTCTTAGAATTGCACGTAGAATCCTCCTATGCTATACGCGCATAGTCAAAAAAATTTTACCCGCCCTAAAAGCATAAACAGACGGCAGTGTTGATCCGGATCAACTCGGGAATTAACTGCAGTTGATCCGGATTAATTCCTAGTTAGTCCGGATCAACGCTGCCGTCTGTTTAAGCTTTTATACACATAAATAAATTTTTGAACAGATACGAGTATAAAAATATTTGGTTAAAATAAAAAAAAAAACACATTTTTGTACCCACAATTCCTCTTTCTAATCTCGCTATTGACTTTTTTGTGGCATTTGCTTTACGGATTATTATTCTGGTGCCAAACTTTGCGCAAAAACGATAGCACACAAATAAAAATTTGAAGAAATTTAAAGATAAGTACGCCACAGAAAACTATTCAAATTTGCATATGCTCCTATGTACATACATACACATGTGCGAAGCTGCATTCCTTGTAGGGAAATTTAATACTAAATTCAAAAATTTGTATGTAAAACGAACTAAAACTTTCCTCATGCTTTTTTCCTCATATATTATAAAAAAAATTTAAACTTACTTAAGTTCATCAGTTGTTAATTTACACAAATATATGAATTAAAACGCTGGAAGTTACACGTTTTTATTATAAAAGGCTATGCACCTACATATGCCTAGCACCTTCAGCAAAAACAAATTATTAAAAATCAATGCGTCTTGAAATTTGCACTTTAACCCACTAAAATTTAATGGGCTATAAAACTGCATACCTACCTAAAATTTTGTAAAAACTCTGAATAAAAAGTTTTACATTTTTGGGTGTAATTGTTAAAGTTTGTTGAATTTTCACAATTTTTGTACGAAGTTTGAAATGTAGATTTACGTGGTGCTGGTTATGTAATGTGCTATACTTTTATAGGAATAATATTAGCATCAAATAAACAAAAGAAAAATAGCCAAGAGTGGTCAAAATATATCGACTTTTTGCACACTTCAACCTGTACATCCGAAAACGTAAGCAAAGGCCATACTACGTCGTATCGAAAAAACACATATCGTTAATTGCGAGGTGAAAAGGAAGTTTATTTTTACCCTGCAGGGGTTTCCCTCACGTACAATTGCAAGTATGTGTATCATCGTAACTAAGGCTTTTGAATTTTATGACTAACGACATTTCACACAACCCTTTCATTCACCACCACATGACACAGTGGCACAATAAGTAAATCTAAAAAAATACTACTGCTACTGATAGTCTCGTTATGGAGAAAATTTAACTTTAGCTTCACTTTGCCAGCCACTTGTTTCTTTTATTTGTTGCATTTATTTTCACTTTTAGTTCATTTTGCCATCTTTATCTGGCAATTGGAATTGTATACATTTTACGTATGAAATCAAAGTAAATTATACGCAGCTTATCTGTGTCATGCGGTAGACGGACGCAGCGAATGATAAACACAAGTCAAAAGAAAAGGGAAAAGCAGGCAAAAATGTAAAACTTCCTTTTTGTGTATAAAAAAGTTTATTTCCTATGTGACCGTAGTCAGTAGAGTATGAAAAGGATGTGTTTGATTTGCCACATATTTTCTCTTTAACAAATCTGTTTTATTGCATGGGTGTGTGCCTACTGTGTCCTTATTTTTCTTCCTGATTCACATTCTGAAGGCTCAAAATAACCGAATAGATAGGGCATATTTATATTTAAATTTAAATTTCTGCATAACTTTATCAACCCTCTGAGCAAATTTGTAAAAGTTGTACAAAAAAAGGATAAATACGCAGATACAAATCGGTTCATCCGCTAGGGAGCGATTATTTTTTAACATTTTAAGATATGTTTAATAAACTCATTCGTTATTTTATTTTATTTTTTTTTTGTGGAAATGACATATCCTTTTATTTATGCACATATTATAAACTAATAAGACTTAAAAAAGTATTGGTGGTTAAAAGAGAAATGTCACAATGCAAAAAGTTTAATTTAAAAATAACAACAACTTACTTTATTATATTTAGTATCTAATAAATGCATGCATATATAATGGTAATTATCAGCTTAAGCATCGCCTATTATAAGTACTACGGTATACAATTTAGAGTTGTTCTAAAGCTACATAACTTCTTTTTACTCTTTTGCAGATGAAACAATTAGCGAACACGAAGGCAAATCGGTGGTGATACCTTGTCCGGTAAACAAAGCTAAATGTGGCGATCTGCATTCGATAAACTGGTTCAAGGGAGACGATCGTATTGCAGCGATGCTGCTGGGCGATAGCAATGTGACAAGCGTCTCAGATGAGTTTGCGAATAGGTAAAGAATCAGTACTTTAAATTCTAACAAATTAAAATGTCTCTGTTTCTGTATTAATATTGCTACTGCTCTGCCACTTTTTGTCTAGGCAATTTTAAAACCACCTCACTAGTGTTGGGCAGTATCGATACCAAACGTACTCAAAACTCGATTCTCAAAAAGATCGACAGCAGTCGATTTTTAAAAGAATCGATACTCCAAAGTACGCAGTACTCACAAAAGAACTCGAAAGTACTCAGAACTTAAAAGAACTCGAAAGTTCCCAGAACTCACAAAATAAATCGAAAGAACTCAGTACTCAAAAATAATCTATTCCACTCATCACTTTGACACATGTACTCAGGATCGATTTAAAGTACTTAATATTAAGTGCCGATACTTAAAAGTATTTAGTTTTATTTACATTTACCGGTATTTTGAAATTATTGTACTCAATTTGAAGGTTCAATAGTTTTCAAGTGCAATACTTGTACCCAGTAAAGTTAGCTATTCATTTGGCGTAATTTGCACTTAATATAATAATTTGATAATGCTGGCAGCTTTTGAGATTTCTTCACAAAGCATTGAAATGATACCAACATGTGTATATTAACAGAAAGTACTCAGTACTCTTAAAAATACCAAATTCTTCAAAGTATCGATGCGAAAGAACTCGATTCTCAAATGTACTCGATATTTCCCAACTCTACACCTCACGTATGCTGATAAGCTGAATATTAACATACGCACTCCTATTTGTATTCGTTTGTTGCTTGTTTGTACATTTGTTTTCGTTGACCATTGAAATGTCGGCTGATTATACTGTCTTGTTATGCCAGTTTCTCAATGTCCGGTTAACACTAACTACACGTTAAACATCATTATCGACGTTATCGACTCCCTATTATATGTTATTGAGTCGATCACGTCGATAACCATGTTTAACCTGCAGTTACTGTTAATCAGACATTGAGAAACTAGCCCTTAAAGGTGCGGTGTAAACATGCAGATGACATCAAAAAGTGCACACTGCAATACTCGAAGTCTGAACGTTGAAAAATAAGATTTTGCTAGAAGTACCTTTGAATAATCTTCTGTTGATATCATCTGTGTATTACAAACTTGGTTAACGATATTCTGAACCGCTTCTATTCCACCCCTAATTACGAGATGTTCCAAATTGATCGTTTAGGTAAACCAGGGGGTGGTGTAGCTATCTACTGTAGAGATTACTTAGTTGTTAAGGTAGTAAGTCGTTCCTCTATGTCTTAAATTGAGTTTCTATCTGTTGTTCTGTCCGATAGTTATTCTAAAGAACTTTTGTCATGTGTGTACAATCCTATTAAAAACTCTTCTTATCTACCTTTCTTTGAAGAACTTTCAGCTCAGTTAATTGACTACGATAGTTTGATTGTTTGTGGTGATTTTAGTATAAACATATTAACCCTTGACTCAACATTGCATCTAATGTTATGCTTATTGTTTATACAAAAATCCCACTAGGTTTACTTGTAATGCGCGAGTGTCTGAGTTTGTTAGATATTTTTATTTTTCCCCTTTCCACGTTCCGTTTCTACTATTTGATCAGTAGTCCTTTGTCTCCAATCATGATTTAATTTTTCATACATTTAACTCTAAATTGTGTCATAATGTTGATGCAAATACGACCTTCCATTACCGTGACTTCAATGCAGTTAAATTTGACAGTTTATTTTCTGACTTGAACCAATTTTCCTAGGACTATTGTTGGCAATTAGTCACTGTTGCTGACAAATTAAACTTCCTAACTGGAAGTAAACTTAAATTTTTGACGGTTGGTTTTTGATCTGTATAAATGTACATTATTTCTTTATTATTTAGAAATATTGTATTCTGATGAAATTGACACTCGATTATAATGGACAATTTGACGCGGTCCCGTGGAGTTCATTATAACCGGATTGCACTGTATTTTGGATTTGGTGAAAATGCAGTAAAACAACGAAACAGTTATTTAAGTAACGGAATGCAGAAAGTAAAAGTCGACCACACCTTTTTGAGAATTGGCGGGCACATGTTGTGGAGTACCGCATGGGTCTGTTCTAGGTCCTCCCCTCTACTACAGAATTTTTATAAACGATGTTTTCAACTCTTGATCAAATGCTTGTATACGTGCTTACACTGATGTTTAATTAGATATATATCTTTAAACATATCAGCATGGTCCAGGATATAACTATTAAGCTTAATGAGGACTTGTGCTCGATTCTTGAGTGGTCTGCTGAAAACCTCCTCTGCCTAAATGATCAATAATCAAAGATCCTATTTTCTGATATAATTCACCTTTATATTGGTACTGTAAAGCTTTAATTGGTTGACAAAGTGAGAAACCTGGATGTTACTATAAATTCCAAGCTGAATTGATAGGACCACAAATCAATTAGTTGTGGGAAAAATGTACTACATGCTGCGCTGCCTAAGGGTATCCTCACTTTTTGTACCCTCAGACACGAAGAAAAGCTGGTCTCAAGCGTTATTGTTCCTCACATTATGTATGTGGAAATAGTATACAGAAAAATAGGGTTGCATTCCTGCCATTAGGAATGTATGTATATGGCTTGACGAAATTTGACCATTTATCTTCCTTGCGACCTAAGAAACTTTATGTTTAAATTATTCGTTTATAAAAAGCCGGAAAAGCTTAAGTTTTCAAAATGCACACGCGCCTTTAATTTTATATTGCCAAATTTTAATTAATTAAGCACTTCCAGACTGTTTTTTTTTAATTAACTTAAATTTTGTTTGTATATGTATTTCTTTTCTTCCTTGCAGAGTCACCGTGGAACAAAATCCATTTAGATTAGTAATTAATGACTTAAAAATAGCTGATGAGGATATATATCTTTGTGATACAACATTTCTTATACCAATCGAAACGTGTGATAATTTCAACGGCTATCGGGTCGAGTTGAATGTCTTAGGTAAGCTAAATAGTTTCCCGTTTGCTCTTCTAAAGAAAATTTTGTTTTAATTTTTAATTGTCTATCCTTTGACCAATAAAATACTTAACGTAAATACTTAATCTTACTTCTTTCTTTTGATACTTAATTATTTGCTTTTTGCATGGCTCATTTTAATGTTTGTCTCTGTTGCTGAATTGGATAATCCATATTCAGTTTGGGTGTTAATTTATTATTTCGCTTTTCTTTATTTTATGCTTACTTTTTGACTCTTCGGAAGCCAATTATTTTAAAAAGCAAACTGCATGTTGCCTTGGCTGCTTTGGAATATAGAATATATATAGATACAATTTTTGTTCATATATTTTGGTTTTGTATAAAGTTCTTTGTTGTATTTTTTGGCTTTGCGTCTTACATGTTGAATTGATTTTTTGCAATTTAAGAAATGTTTAAAAAATAATTTTTCAATGGAATTTTGTAATCCCCACCGCCCCATACTCTGATCTAAATCGTCGATGTAAATGAATATATTGAAATTATTTGTGATAAAATATTGTGAAATATTCATTCGGGAAATTTCGTATTCCAAAATCTAAATATCTCAAAAATGTTTCTTAAGTAAAGAATCCTAATTTATTGACAACTAAATATTTTGCTTTATGGAGATCAAGATTGCCTGAAAAATAAAATATTAATATTTCGTGCAAGCATGTAGTCAATTTTACTGTTTCGCTCCACACTCATAATCAATGAATTTTCCAGCGCAGCGTTACTAACAAACTCTTTCATCTTTTCATAAATGCTGTATATTTTCTTTTCCATTGCCACTAAATCAATTATGTCCATTTTGCGCTTGTTACAGTACCTAATAATTTTCTGTTCGCAAGTACTAATCAAACATGTCAGTCATCTTTGCTTTGCATCCAATTTTAATATTTACATACTTCCCGTTCTATTGCTCAATAAAAAATTTAATGCTTTTTCATTACCAATTTGAGTTACTATTCGTCTTTTACTACGCCTCTCTATGATCTCAGTTTTTGATGCAATTTTTACAAATTGTGTATATTTTTTCGTTATTCATTCAACAAAATTGAATCTCATGCGATTTTTAACTGATTGTACTTTTGATAAACCCCATTCCCACCGCTCTCTTCTACTACTACTACTACTACTACTGCAAAAAACAAATAAAAAACGCTCGTCAACATCATCACCATGGATTGGTATATGCAAACTGCAAATAAAATATTTTTGTATGAAAAATAAATATACATATATGCTATATGAATACTAAATAATGAAAAAAATACACGCCTTTAACACCCGCCAAACCAATTTAAATCAAATCAAATAAATGGATGTCAAAATGAAATGTGTGCATACAACATAACCCTAAATTTGTTTATTTTGACAATTTTAATTTTATTTGTAACTGCTAAAACTCACAACAACCAAAAAAACTGTTAAATGCAAACCAACCGTTTTTCAAAAACAAATACGTAGAAAATATTGGTAAATTACTAAACAAAACAATTTTTATAAAAATCACAATTTTTGTATAGCTCAACTGGAATAAACTAGTTTTAGTTTTGTTCGATTTTATTTTCATTTGGCATATGCAATTTCGTTTAATGTTTCAGTTGTGAATTGATTTTCATAAATTTAGTGGCTTATGATTTTCATAACTTATTCCACGTATGTATATTATTTTAAAATTCTAAAACTTCAAAATTATTATTTCTTTTCTTTGAAATTTTTTATTTTATTATTAATACATAAAATTCCGCAAGATTTACGATAAACTTAATTATTAATTTTGGCTATACAAATTCACAAATTTTTCTTTAATGAATCAACACAAAAAAATCAACTACAACAACAACTACTGCAAAAACCAACCCTCAAAACACTGAATCCACCGTCAACGCAACAATAAATTCAAAACTATAATTATCCTGCTCCGAACGCATCCATTCCACACAAACACTCGGTAAAACACAACACATCATTTGAAATACCAACTCTTAAATAACGCGTAAAACACTCACACGCTCACGCCCACTCGCAAACACACACACACACAAACAACCAACACCGTGACGATTGGCGTAATTTGCATACGACTGTTTGGTTGTTGTTGTTGACTGAGCAGTGCCACCATCAGAGGTTGTGATCCTGGATGAGAAAGGCGATCGCATTGAGAATGGTTCCATCATTGGCCCCATGCAGGAGCGTCAGACACTGAAAGCAGAGTGTGTAGTTTGGAACACACGACCTCAACCACAGGTCGGCTGGTGGCGGGGGAATAAACGACTGATGACGCGTAAGTATTTAGATATATGTACTAATCTTTAATTACTCTTTATGAACACAGTATATGAAAAGTATATACTCCGCATGAGTATGTAGGAACGTTAGTGTATCTCAGACATGAGCTTAATGGAATTGAATATGACTATGCAAATACATATAGGGAGTTCACAAGGTGTTGTATACTGTCGTACTGTTGTATGTCATAAACTTTAAACGGCTAAAACTATATTTAAGGAATTTGTAAGCTAACATAAAATTTCACACAATTAAAAAATCGTTGGTGGTGATTTCAAGTCCTCTAAACATTTATTTAGCCGTTAAAAACTTTACAACATACAACAATACGACAAGTACGACACCTTGTGAACCACCCAATAGTATGTATGTATCAGGGAAGCCAACTCGTGGGGAATTCTCCGATTTGCGAGGATTTTTACTTTGCGTGGGGAATCGGGGAAATGACCATATTTTGTGGGGAATTTAAGCTTACGTGGATAATCGGGGGATTTACTGCTTTTTTGTGCAGATCTAGGTGTTAACTAATTTTTTCTTTTTTCCTTCACAAATTTCATAATAATAATAATAGATACGCGCTTACACATATGTTAGTGTTTGGCCGAGGTTCTCCTCCGACTTGTGGCGTGCGCCTTGATTTTGTCACACAAAGCGGACGGACCTACAGTTTTACGCCGACTCCGAACGGCGAATGTATTTTTATGAGAAGCTGTCTTTCATGGCAGAAATACACTCGGAGGTTCGCCATTGCCTGCCGAGGGACCACCGCTGTTAAGAAAAACCCTTTTCTATATTTGTTTTTTTGTGATGTTGCTTTGACCAGGGCTTGAACCCAGGTGCTGATGAGTGAAAGTGCGCACTGCTTACCACTACACCACAGCGGCTGATCACAAATTTCATAATGAGTTAAAAAGGTTGCATGATAAATGCAACTGCAACTAAATGTACTGATTATGCAACCCTGCAAATTTTCTTTGTTTGCTTTCATAGAACGAATAAACACAATTAATTTTTATATGGAAGAAAACCGCAACACCATCTGGAAAAAAAATTCTAAAACGAAACCGCTTGAATCTTGCACTTTATTTATTAGAAACTAGAGCTTTCGATTTTGTTCGCACATTTTCAAACAGCCCGGGTATATGAGCAGCGAGTACTCGCACACTTGTTCAATGCTCATTACTCGAAAATTTTCGGGCATGAGCTCGAGCAATTCGAGTTTTTTCGAGCTCGATACCCGGATATCTAGAGCTCTATTAGAAACTACTGGGCTACAGAACTTTAAAAATTCGAAATTATGAATTTCGAAATATGGAAGTTTCAGGCAATTCTGAAATTTACCGTTATATGAAAAGCGGCCGTAATTTTAGTCCGATTTCAATAATTTTCAACGTTTTGCTTATATGTGGCAAGCACAATAACCACACCGAGTTTGGTACAAATTGGTTGAACGGTTACCGATTTACATATATGTGATCATAAGTGGGCGGTGCCACGCCCATTTTCCAAACTTTTACCATAAACGTATTTATTGATAAAGAATTGTTGCAAGCATCAATTTTGAATAAATAAGCTTCAATATTTACTGATTTATCGAAGATTTTGTATTTCTCTAATTTACCGTTATATGGGATGTGGGCGTGGTTATCGTCCGATTTTAAAAATTTTCGGCGATTTTGTATGCTGTACCAAGGCCAACAACTGTGCCTGTGGACGAAATTGGTGCAGCGGATACCAAGATATACACATGTAACCATAAGTGGGCGTGGCTACGCCCATTTGCCAAAAATTTATAATATTCTTATTTTTCGTCTAAAAATTATTGTAAATATCAATTTTGAGTGAATTATATTCAGTAGTTACTAAAATATCGCAGTTTTCGCATTTCTGGAAATTACCGTTATATAGGAAGTGGGCGTGGTTACCGTCCGATTTCGCATTTCATTTTCATTACCAACTTACCTTGGATTAAGGGAAACCTACGTACCAAATTTCGTTGAGATATCTCAATTTTTGCTCGAGTTATCGTGTACACGGACGGACGGACAGACGGACATGGCTTAATCGATTTCCTTTTTCATCCTGATCATTTATGTATACATTTGTCTATATCTATCTCGATTCGTTTTGGCTGTTACAAACAACCGTTATGTGAACAAAATTAATATACCCTTGTGCACAAGTGCGCTCGGGTATAAAAAATAACTGTGAAAACTGGTCAACATTTTTGTAGACTAAATTTTTTTTCGATCACTGTATGTATGTAAATATTATATGTACACTTTTTATTATTTATTTGCTAAACAACTTTATAAACGTTTAGTTTGGGTTATAAATACGTAGACGTATCACATTTAAAAATAAAATAAACAGAAAGACCAGCAATATATCGAAAAAAATACATTTTTTTTTTGTAAACAAGGAGATATCTATGGATGGGGGAATTTTATGGAATTTCGGGCAAATCGGGTAATTTCTTAGTCGAAATCGGGAATTCTCAAAAATGAGTTGGCTACCCTGGTATGTATCCAACACCTAAGGGTCGAATTTTTCAAAAGACTTTTTAGTTATGAAGTATGCCGCTATCCCTGAATTAAAGACACGTTTACACTGAGAAAAAACTTTTGATTACTTCCCTGCAAAAAATGCAAGTAATAAGGGTTGACTCAACAGCAAATGGCTATGCGACTAATACCACTTCTGATATCTTTTTCGTTCGAACATGTCCTATAAAGGTACAACTACTTATAGTTCATTTCCACCAAGCCTTAACTGCAGTTTATGCCTAGTGGAAAAGGAGATTAGAACTCAAAGGGGGTAATTGCTCATAGTAGGTACAAGGAAATGAAGTTAAAAAAGCACATAGCAAGAAATTAAACGTGGCTTCCAACCATGCAGGGGTGGTGCTTACACATAGTTACAACTGGCCACAACTGCCGGTCCACCTTTTTAAGTAAATAAATAACCGATGCTCGGCCTAGTGTGATACATCCTCCGGAAAATGCTTCCTGAGTTTCTTGCGGATTCTGCATAACTTACCATGAATAAATCAGTGAGAGGAGAGACCAGTATGTTAGCATGTATGTATTTATGAAAAAGTAGTGGGTTGGCACTGTGCCCAATGGTATTTATCTGTTACCACCCCGGCATGATTGTAACCCACGCAGAGTCCGCACAAAACTCCGGAAGCACTGTGCGGAGGATGCATCAGACTAGGCCGATCATAATTTGTATTTCCATCAACTTATAACTTTAGAAAGATTTACTACAGGCAGCTGAGAAGTGCATGTGCACAAATGAATGAAGGAAATTTTTGCACAAGGTGCAGTACATATCATGCATTTAAGCACCCGGTGTTAAAACCAGGCGGGCACAGAACAGTAATGACTGGCGTGCTTTGTTGGACTCGGCCAGAATCGCGTAGTCGGTTACAGCGCCAATCAAGAAAATAAAAAGGCCTTATCCTTAAAATTGAGAAATAAATGAGGTTTCGGAAAACAAATATTTATCAATATTTTCGGAGGAAGAATTTATTCCCAAAATAGTCAATTATCTGCCAAGGGCTAAACAAGTTTTATATATAAATACTTACATCGATGCCGTTATTTATCAACATTAATAATTCAAAACAGTAATAAAATAAAAAGGATATTTTATTGCACTTATAAACCATATATGCATTTCAGCCAAATGAACCATAGAGCCGAGTCGAAATGAAAATTACATAACATTTTTTTAAGCACATGTACTCAGATTGCATTTCTTCGCCATTTTCCAGAGCGTAGCGGCGCAGGTCAACCACTTGAGCTGTCACTTAAGGCTAATCTCAGTCAAACGTCCTGCTGAAACATTACGAACGACAGAAATTTACGACCTTACACACCCAACGTAAACTCAGGAAACTTGGGTGGCGGACTTAACACTTTCAGGATTCCCTTTGTTTCACACTTGTTCACTCCGACTCTTCTCTCCACCGCACACACTTTCATTGGAGTAAGACGAATGCGTGTCTGCTGCGAAATTGGCGCCACAAAAAAAAAACGCTGTGAACGTATAAAAAACTTAGGGATATAAGCAGCTTCTTATCGGACAACGCTCAGCGGTACATAAATATTCAGTGTGCGAAGAATAGAAAAGGCGAAATAAAAGCGTTGGTGGAATGAAAAGATCACACTAAGTCCGCTTTTAAGGTTGAAAAGTGCGCTCTATAAAAGCGCAGCATAAAGAACCGTTAAAAGGCATCAAATACTCAACACAAGTTCTTGCGACTCACATGGCAAAACATTACAGTAGAATCGCTGAAAGCGTAGCTAATAAAATTTTTTTATTGCTCCGCATAAAAAGGCAATTGCATTAAATTCCTCAGTATAGATGCAAGAGCAGCATAAAAACCCACGGTCGGCAGTTTTTTCCGGTGCAAGTATTCTCTTTAACGATGATTGTGCAACCAAATTAATTGGCTTGCTTTAGGGAGTGAGAAAAGATATCATAAAAAAAAAATCAAAAGAAGGTACACACACTTCAAATAAGAAGGAGCGCAATACAAGCACACGTTAGCCGTCAAATCTTAGATCACACCCATGGCCATTAAAAAATCTCAGGAAGGTTCTTACAAAAGTATGAGTTTGCATGTTTAGGATAAAACTTAATGTGCCACAAGCGTCAAGCCATTATTTGAACGAAATTGCGAACAAATACTAAACTCGGGGAAAAAAATTAAAGCAAATGTTACTCGAGTGTACACCTCAGTAGATTTAGTTTAGTTTCCTTCTCACTTCTGGTCCGCTTTCGAAAAGTTTATGAACGCTAATAATTTCTCGAGCTTTTGTTTTCCTACCAACACCAGATTTAAAAGTTGTTTTTGTCTTTTTTAATTTTATGGCTGTTTACTCAATTTATTGCGAGTAAGATGAGATGCCGTATTTATAAATGTATATGTATGTATGTACATTTTCGCTTTTATAAATATAGTTAATCTTTTTCCCTTTGCTCTTG